GATGAGGACCACATGAGTATGTCCTAGCTGAAATGGAAGAGGACCCGAATGATATCCTACGTGGGTATATGGCCTCACTGGTCATGAAGTACTCACACTGGTGTCTTGTCCTGACCTAGAGCTAGATAGTCAGTCAAGACCATGAAGGAAGGCCATGATTGTGAACCTCACCAGCAACCTTGTGTCTTTGCATTTCAAGAATAACAACAAGGCAGCTTTATTCTAACACTCTCAACTTCCAAGTTAGTGAGATGGAACTCAAATACTACTAGGTAGGTATGGCAGATACAATAAGTTTCCCTTTTTTGTCCCTTAGAGGCCTATTGGCAAGAAAATTCAATTGTCTATGATAGCAAGTAGTGCAGCGAGTCAGAAGTACTGGTGTCCAGTACTCTTCAAAAGCCTGGATTTTACCTCTGGAGCCTGCTTGAGCATCACAGGTCTTGTGTCTCAGCTACTATCCATCTTGTGAACACTGGCTTTGCCTGTCCGTGCTGCAGTATCTACTTGAGGCTTTTGTCACAGTGACCCAAAGGGCTTCTCATTCACTCTGAACAGCAATCTTCCAAATAACCTGCTGTTGGTCATGAAAGAATACCTGGACATAAGAACCAAGAAAGCCTGGTATATGCTATGACAGTGCCTCCTTGCTGGACTCAACACCGCTGGTGTATTGTTTAGAGTAGGCGTACATTGAGCTGTGCTTATTCTGAAAAGGTTTAGAATGGGAAACGGGGAATGTTGATACAGCTCCACTTTCAGGTTTTTGCCTCCTTGAGGGAGTAGTCATTGTGAACCATCTGTTCAGAACTAAACCTGCTCCTTGTCTTTTAAACTCTAGGAGACTCTCACAGTTAGGCATCATGCCTGTTTGTTATTCTTTACTAGAAGAGGTTATTTTTCTAGCCTTCTCTAGTAGCTTTTCTAGCTCTCTAGAACTCCTCCTGTGTGCTTGCTCGTCCTTTTTCCCTTTCTCTGAAAGAATAAGTGAGGTCTTCTGTTGTATAATCAAAACTTGTAGATTTTCAGCTGGGCAAAGCAATATGCCTGTACTCCCAGCACTGAGAGGTGAGGCGGGAGGATCAGAAGTTAAAGGCCAACCTCTGCTATGTAAGGGATTTGAGAGCCAACCGGGGCCATGTGAGAACCCTGCCCCACACTGAAAGGGCCTTATAATTTTTTGGAGGGTTTCATTGTCATTTTTGTTTTTCTTGGTTTTCGAGACAGGGTTTCACTGTGTAGCCTTCCCTGACTGTCCTGGAACTCACTCTGTGGACCCGGCTGGCTCCAAATTCTGCCTCCTGGGTTTTGGGATTAAAGGCATGCTCCACCACCTCCCAGCTATGGGTCTTATAATTTTAAGAAAAGTACAACTAGTATTAGAATCTCTGGTTGAGGTAAGAGTTTCCAGTCTTAGGTTGCTCCCCTTAAAAGACTGGATTCCTAGAACTAAACCTGCTCCTTTGTATTTCAAACTCTTGGAGACTAACAGTCCTTTGGCAGTTGATAGATTAGAAGAAGGAGGGAACTGGGGAGATAATTCAGTAGGTAAAGCATTTGCCAGAGTTCAGATCTACCACTACCCACATAAAGGAAGCAAGCATAGAGTTTGTAATTGCTTAGAAGACATGGCAACCAGCCCCACCCTCCCAGAGCAAGCTACACTACATTAGCTGTATTGGTGAATTCGGTTTCAAGTGAGTGACTTTGCTGAGTTTGGTATGTAAGGAAGAGTTTAAGGAAGAGCCAGGTGTCTACCTCTAGCCTACACATACATGCCTATGAAAGAGAAAAAAACACTTTCCTGAAAAGTAGTCACTGACTGGATAACTTTTACATATAATCATCTTGGTTATGCAACATATGAACAGGCCAAGGAATCACAGTCATGCTCAAGAACCTAGCAGAAGCAAGTGTAAAGCTCTAAAAGAGGTCATATTTACCCTAGCCACAGCAAATTGGTCCTTTACAAATGATTTTAAAAGACAGAAAAGGCCACAAACAACCAGGGTAAGCAAGAGAACAAGGCAACAGAGAGACACATCTACAAGGAAAAGATGAAGCAGAAATATGTAGTAGAAAAAACTAGAAAGCCAGTTAACGGGTTTGAACAATGATTGCAGAGAACAGTGAATTATACACAAAATGAGAACAGATTTAAAAGAAAAATTCTAGCTAAAAACAAAATTATAATCTCAGTGAATGTTTTGGCAACAGATTGGATTTAACAAAAGACAGTTGAGAATCTAAAAACAAACCAAATTAATGTTTTGTTGAGAAGAGACAAAAAGAGAAAATAGAGATTATATTAGAGAAAGAAGGGTATGGGAAAACATAAATAGAAGAGAGAATATTGGAGAGTTTTCAATATCAAACAGGAATAATAAAAAAAAAACCTAGATACAGAAAAAAACAATTAAAAAAAATAAAGGGGCTGGAGAGATGGTTCAGTGGTTAAGAGCACTGATTGTTATTCTAGAGGACCTGGGTTCAATTCCCAGTACCCACATGGCAGCTCAGAACTGTCTGTAATTCCAGTCCCAAGGCACCTGACATCGACAGCAAAATACCAATGCCCATAAAATAAAAATAAAGAAAGAAAAAAAAGAAGTGTCAGAACCTTGTGGGGTATTGTCCTAAGAAAAGTAACTGCCATTCTAAATTGTTCCATATAGTGAGCTCAATAGTGAAAATGAAGGATGGAAATATTGCTTCATTGGTTAAGGGCTCGCCTAGCATACAGGAAGTTCTGGGTTTAATCACCAGTGCTGCATAAAACCAGGCATGGTGACCTACTGTGTAATCCCAGCACTCAGGAGGCAGCGGCAGGAATACAGGAGGTTCAGGTATCTCAAAAAGATGAAGTGATGCCCCTGCCTTAGCCTTCTGAGTTCTTGGTGTATAGTTCTGCCACCATGTACTCCATGAGACACTGCCTCAAAAATAAAGTGAAGATGTTTTCAGATGGGTACTTTTTTTTAATTTCATCAAATCATCACTAGACGATTTTAAGAATGGCCTTCAGGCAGAATTAAGCACAAATAGGTTTCATATTTAAGAACAGGCGCCGGGCAGTGGTGGCTCATGCCTTTGATCCCAGCACTCAGGAGGCAGAGGCAGGCTAATTTTTCTAAATTCAAAGCCAGCCTGGTCTACAGAGTGAGTTCCAGGACAGCCAAGGCTACATAGAGAAACCCTATCTTTAACCCACCTTCACCCCATCCCCCCAAAAACTCACCAAATGCATGAAGAAATATAAGTATTACTTACACAACACAACAGTAATATCTGTAGGCCTAATCATACAAAATACCAGAAATTGGTTCCAGAATTGAGGCAGGTAGGACAGGGAGTTTAAGCTGTTGGCCCTCTGTATTATGTAGGAAGTAGTAAAGGTTTGATTAGACTTAGTAAGTTACATCCTGCACAAGGGAGAAGGAGTTGCTAGAGACAGAATCCAGGCTTTGTCCATGCTAGGCATTTGATTAACTTCTGAGCTACTAATGAGCTACACCCCAGCCGAGTGTATATGTAATGACTAAGATAACCAGTAAAAACAATAGGAAGTATATCGTTTCCAACCCGGTAGAGCAGGGAAATTTGAAGCAATACATATGTGCGTTAATTCCTTCTGTAAGAGCATTTACAGCAGCATAGTTTATACTGCCCTCACAAGGGAATAGGTTATTACTATTCAGTAATAATGAAAATAAACTAATGATATATAACAACATAACTATGTCTACAGTGTCTGAAGGAGCAAGCCCCAAGAATAAATACAGTATATGAATATGTGTGAATATGTAATTCAACTTGTATATTATAAAGCTTATAGCTAGACAACACTAAACTTTTTTTGTGGGGTTTTTGTTTTTTGTTTTGGTGCAAGTAAACCAAGATACTAAACTGTATTGTTTTTAATGGATTGACAAGCTTTCCCGTTACTATCAAAGAGTGAATAGCTCAGACATAGGTGCCATGTAGTCACTAGCATAACCACAGCCAACCTTGTCACTATTGAGTGGGACAAAGGCCTGTGACAGCATGTTTGGTAAATATGTTGATAAAAAGATTACTTTTAAAGGGTGGGGAGGCCAGATGACAACCATAAAAAGGACTGGCTGTTGGAGGAAGGAAGGTTCCTGATCAATGGGGACCTGTAGAATGTGGGTACTGGTATGGAGGCCACCTAGGTGTTGACTTTGTGTCTTTTTAGTTTTTTTCCAGTATTACTTACTTTATGTGTGGGTGTGTTGCCTGCTTGTGTCTCTGCGTGTGTGTTCTGGTGTACTCAGAGGCCAGACAAGGTTGTCTGATGTCCCGGAGGGAACTGGAGTTAGAGACAGTTGTGAGCCATCATGTGAGTGTTGGGAATTGAACCCAGGTCTTCTGTGCTCTTAACCACTAAGCCATCTCTCAGTCTGTATAAACCCTTGTCTTTTAAATTTTCTGTAAAAATCGTGTATGACAATAAAGTAACTCTTAAAAGATATAAATTATCAAATGCTTTCTTAAATAATGGTTAAAAGTATTTAATTTTATGTGGATATCAGTTTGCATTTAAATTGTTCTGCTTATTTTCCCAAGGTTCCTATTAAATATACCTGAAATATACCTGAATTTAAATATTAAAACAAAGCTGCATTTATTAAATCATCTTGCTGGCTTTAGAACACACATTTAATCAAAAATAAAATATAAGCATTACTATTTTTTTCTTCTTTTTTCCCCCGAGACAGGGTTTCTCTGTATAGTTTTGGTGCCTGTCCTGGATATCTCTGTAGACCAGGCTGGCCTTGAACTCACAGAGATCCACCTGCCTCTGCCTCCCAATGCTGGGATTAAAGGCGTGTGCCACCACAGCCCTGCCACATTACTACTTTTTAATAGGATTCAAGCATTAGATAAGTTAGAGGATTATATCTGTGGCTTGCAGTTAACATCTTGGCTTATTTGCACCAGGCATTAACAGCTGTCCCTCTTAAAAACCCTTTTCGCAGGCTCAGTAGATGAAGGAGTTACAGAGGGGTTGCCTACACTTCAGAGTACTTCTAGCACCAATGCTCATGCAGATGACGACGACAGGTTAGTACCAACATAGTGTGCTTTTTCTCATGAAGATTGTGCTTAGGGCTCTACATTCAAACTTGTGTGAGAAATTTATTGAGACTTTACAGTTTTGTTCATTACCAAAAATTGCCTGGACCCCTTACCTTATGTAGAATGATTGCTTTCTTGCTTGCTACAGTTTGCTTCTGAGAACTGTACATTATCCTTTTTTCCTCATCACTTCTCACTTTGTCTCTCTGTATTTAATCTTTTAAGTCCTTTCAACTCTGTCTTCCGAATCCTTAGTTGACTTTTCCTCTGTACTACAGCCATGTTGGTTTAAGTCACCACTGTATTTCTCCTGACTACCATAATCTTGAAATAGTCAGGGGTCTTGAAATTGACCCCTGATTTCATTCTTCCATTTCTTAAGTCCAGTCTCCATGTACTACCGGATCATTTCATTTCATTTTTAACTAAGATGTCACGATTTTTACTTAAACTAAATTCTTGCTGGGTGGTGGTGGGACACACCTTGAATCCCAGGAGGGATTAAAGGCAGAGGTAGGCAGATCTCTGTGAGTTTCAGGAGAGCCAGGACTACATGGAGAAACAAAAATAAATCAATCTAAATTCCTTGCTGTTTATAAAGTCCTACATGATTCAAATTTACCTAGCCCCCATCAATTCTTAAAACTTTCCATATTGTTCCTACCTATTTCATAACCTTTGCTTAAAATGTTTTCTCCTCTGATTTCCACTCTTTTGACACTTCTCCTTTTTTTTTTTTTTTTAATAATTTTATGTATATGGGTGTTTTGCCTGCCTGTATGTTTGTATACGACATCTCTGCTGGTACCTGCCGAGGCCAGAAGAGGGCATTAGATCCCCTAGAACTGGGGTTTCAGATGGTTGGGAGGTGCTATGTGGGTGCAGGAACTCAAACCCAGGTTCTGGAAGAACAGCCAGTGCTCTTAACAACTGAGTCATTTCTCCAGTCCCCTTTCTGACTGTGATCTTCAGATGATTGACATGTCAGTTCTCAAGGAGGCCTTCTCTGACCACCAGTTTAAACCAGCACCCAATCATTGTTGGATCTTCCTGATTTAATTCTCTACCTTCTGGTCCTTTTCTGATTATTTGCTTGTTCTCAGCACTGAATATAGATTTCACTGAATGAATTATTCTTCATATAGAGTGCAGAACAGTCTTAATACCTGTATTTGCTGAAAACTTGAAGGACTCAAAGATTGTCCAGTAACTAAACCTGGAAGATTATGAACCAAAATCATTTCAGTTAATTAGTAAAGGCATAAATAGACAGAAGTGTCCTTATTCCTTAATTTTAAATAGTAATCAAGCTGTCTATTCTTTATTAAATACTTTGCTAAGTCATGGGAATATAGAGATGAAATAGCCTTTGGTCTTGCGAGCTCTGTTGAGTTTTCAGGGAAGAAAAGAAGTTGAAGATAGATAGGGAAGGAGATCACCAAAAGTAATCTGCAGGGAGTTTGTGCTGTGTGTGTAGGGAATTACCTGCTTAAGCAATCACTCAGTGAAGGTGTGCCAGAAGAGGAGGCCCTGACTCAGCTACGTTTTATAAATGAGTGGATACCACCTAAGCAAAGGAGATAGGCTTGTAGAGAAAATGCAGTGTGGGAAAACACAGCATATGGCAGGCACGTTAGAGGAGTTATTTTGCATAAAGTATATTTTGGGGAGTGGGAGTATGATCAGAAATGAGCTAGATATGAGAAGATAGTTCATATATGAGTAGTTTTGAACACATTGTAGGGGTTGAGAATTTATTCTGAAGAAAACAGTTGTAGCAAGATTTAAATGGGGGATATGATAAAGGCCTAAATTAAAACATCAGAAAGGAAGGAATTCAAGAGATTGAAGGATAGCTAAGGTAAAATAGCTTGTGATATGTTCTATGGGGTTTTACATCCGTACTAGAGATGCGGCATTTTGGACAGTAACATTGCTTAACAAATTTTTTTAAGTGAAAATCTTTGTAAAAGTCTTTATTTTTCCTCTGTTCATTTAGAAGTGGGCTGCAGAGATGTGTATTCAACTTAAAAATCAGAGCCTGGTTGCCTTCTTTGGTTTATTTTTTTAGATTGGAAAATGTTCAGTATCCCTACCAACTCTACATTGCTCCTTCTACCAGCAGTACAGAGCGACCAAGTCCAAATGGTCCCGACAGACCTTTCCAGTGTCCGACCTGTGGGGTTCGATTCACCCGCATTCAGAACCTAAAACAGCACATGCTTATTCACTCAGGTAATTTTACCTTCTGTGTTGATGCATAAGGGGGCATGCCAAAACATTATACTTTGTGATCCCAATTAAAATAGAATTTGTGCTGGGCATAGTGACATATGCCTGTAATCCCACCACTCAAGAGACTGGGGCAGGAAGATCCAGAATTTGAGGCCAGCCTAAACTTAATAATAAAGATTCCATTTAAGAAAAGGGGGAAGGGCACCCAGGGAGCGGGAAAGGGTGAGTGAGATGAAAGAGGTTATTAGAGAACAGGAAAAAAAAAGTTAAAAATCCTGAGAAGTCAGATGAGATCAGGTTGGCTAGCTGTGGTCTCTTTGAAATGTTGGAAAACATTTACCACAAGTATCAGGTATTCTGATTAAGGCTTAGAAGCAGTATGTGTGGTCAATAAATAAGTTAACAGATACTGGGTATGTTAGGTACATGTTTATAAATGAGAAAAGTACAAATGCAAATAGAATAAAAAAAAACTATACATAGATTCTTGGAGTTTCTCTGTAATTTCGAGTGTTTTGCCAAATAAAAAACTCTTAAAGGAGTTCACATTTTCTTTTAATTCTGTCAGTCTCTGGTTTTGAGTAGTCAGCTTTGTAGTATTTTTTAATAGGAAAAAAAGATGTTGGATGGATGTGTAGGCAGTTTAGTGAAGCTTGTGCATACTGATGACATAAAGGTAAACAGTACAACACTGACCCTAGGGACCAGAGACCTTTGCTGCTGCTTTCAGCTGTGTCTTCTTTCTCCTTCTCTAGATAGGTAGGTCTTGGGATCGTATTCAATCCACAGGTGGTTTTACAGAGTTTTAACCCCCCTCAATCGTGATAGTGACTATAATATAGTGACTGTTAATATACTTTATAATTCCATTATTAAGCCAGGCATGGTGGTACATGCGTTTAATCCCACCACTTGGGAGACCGAGGAAGGTGGATCTCTATGAGTTTGAGGCCAGCCTGGTCTACAAATCAAGCTCCAGGACAGCCATGGCTGTTACACCGAGAACAAAACTCCCTTATTAATATCTAACAATACTAAACATTCAAAAGCTAATTCACCTATCATAATCATTACATACATAGATGTTAGAGTTTTTCATTTTTCTTATTTCTGTCTAATGTATCTTAGTTTTCCTGTTGCTGTGATAAAATTCCCTGAGAAAAGCAACTTAAAGGAGAAAGGTTTTATTTGGCTCACAATTCCAGGCTACAGTAAGTCCATCATGGCAAGGAAGTTCTAGCAGCAGGAACTTGAGAACAGTCATGGATCCAGTGAAAAGCAGAAAGCAGTGACTAATGCATGCATGGGAGTATTCATCTGGACAGTCCAGGATTCCCGGCTCAGGGAGAGATTCCACTGGCAATTGAGCTAGATCTTCCCACATCAATTAGCTTAATAAAGATAAGCCTTCAAAGACATGCCCAGAGGCCCATCTCCTACAGGAGTCATAACAGACAGGTTTCAGTGTAAACCTCTCTAATGAAGTATATTTTATTATTGGGGACTTGGGTAGCTAAATGGTATAGTTTACTAGAGGTTTGTGGCTAGAGGTTTGACTCCATGGTAGGATGCTTGCCTAGTGTTCATAAGGCCCTGGAGTGGCTCCCCAGCACCACAGCAAATACAATAACTAATGTTCTAGTTTCTTTGCATTGCTGTGGTAAAACACTCTAACCAAGAGAAACTTAGGGGGGAAAGGGTTTATTTTCTTTTACAGGCCACAGTCCATCATTTAGGGAAATCAGGGCAGGAACCAACAAACCCAGAAACCATATTGGAGTGCTGCTTGCTGGCTCACTCACAAGCTCTTCCTTCCCAGTTTGCACTCTGGAGAGGGGTGCTGCCCACAGAGGGCTGGGCTCTCCTCCATCAGTTAGACAGTCCCCCACAGAGATAGATGCGAGCGAATCTGAGGTGCAGTTCCTCAATTGAGATGGTGTTCTGATGTGACTCTAGCTGCTGTCATGCTAATAGTTAAAGCTAACTAGGACGATAAACTTTGGAAGTTTCTGGATACACGACTTAGAAGACCATTCAGAGAACAATTCAGGACATGTTACTTACCTGTCTCCTCCCTATCTTCCCTTATTTTAAGCTCTGGTGACTTGGAATATTCTGGAACACCTCTGAAATACGTTAGAGTCTGTTTTATTGGCAGTTTTTTTTTTCAATTATTGTTATAAAATTGTTATTCAGAAATGTGAGACTTTGTGACCTTTCAGTTTATTTTGTTTCTCAGATGGTATTTTGCTATTTTGTTTTATAGGAATTAAACCATTTCAGTGTGACCGCTGTGGAAAAAAGTTCACCAGGGCTTACTCGCTAAAGATGCATCGCCTAAAGCATGAAGGTAAACGCTGTTTCCGGTGCCAGATATGTAGTGCCACTTTCACTTCCTTCGGGGAATATAAACACCATATGAGGGTTTCCCGGCACATTATCCGCAAGCCTCGGATTTACGAGTGCAAAACATGTGGCGCCATGTTCACCAACTCTGGAAATTTAATCGTGCACCTGAGGAGTCTGAACCATGAAGCATCAGAGCTAGCAAACTACTTCCAGAGCAGGTGAGGTGCACAGTGAAAACCCAATCAGGAAAACTGCTTTCTAAACTCTCCTGCGGCTAGGGCAACCTGCTGTTGTATTATCAGGCTGCCAGCAGTTAGTCCCTTCATTTTCAGTTGCCACTGTGCATACATACTCTGATCTCCTGATCCGATGAGATTTTGCTAAAGGTCTCTTAAATGATAAAGTCATATATGTTTTATAGTTGGTATTAAAAATACTTCTGCGAAATAAAGAGTAACAATATCCCCACAGAAGACTATTTGTCCTCTTGGATTTTTGTTAATGAAGTTAAATAAATTTCTTACTAGCAGATGTACCATGTCAGGTACATCTTAGTAATGTGCAGCCAGACTCGAGCTGCTAGCCAAGTTCTTCAGCACCAACCCTCCCTTTTACTGTCTCATATAGCAAGGTGGTGATGGTGGTGCACACCTTTAATCCCAGCACTCCGGAGGCAGAGGCAGGCCGATCTCTTGAGTTTGAGGCCAGCCTGTTCCACAAGATGTGGTTCCAGGACAGCCAGGGCTACACAGAGAAACTCTGTCTTGAAAAAAGAAACAGGAAAAAAAAATTAAAATCTTATATAAAAGAATATCATTTATCGGGGCTGGAGAGATGGCTTAGTGGTTAAGAGCACTGGCTGCTCTTCCAGAGGTCCTGAGTTCAATTCCCAGCAATCACATGGTGGCTCACAACCATCCAAAATGAGATCTGATGTCCTCTTCTGGCCTGCAGGCATACATACAGGCAGAACACTGTATACATAATAAATAAATAAATTTAAAAAAAAAAAAAAATATCATTTATCAATAAAAACATTGTTGAACTGTTACCAGGGATATAATTAGATCCAGTAAGTCTCCTGTTTATCTAAGTCCTCCTGTAGATAAAAAAAACTCTATTATGTGTGGTTTTTAATACTTGCTAGGAATTCTACCTCTGTAGAAACCCTTAGTTTCTCAAATATAGAAATCCTTCTAACTTAAAGTTTTTAATTAACCTTCATTTTTTAAATCTTTTCAGTTGCAAATTATTCATGAATAGATTTAGTTTTTCCCTTCTGATGAGCATTTATTTTATTTAATCACTTCTAATTCTAAATGTGTAGTTACTGTTACTAAAGCAAGATTATACACTTACTAAACACAGTTGTTTAGAAATAAAATAGTCCAGTTTCACTACTCCCATATAATATAGAGCCCTGTATCTTATACTACTCTTGTCTAATCCATGAAGACTTTTTAGGAAATATAGCACAAGACATTAGAAATTGCTTTGCAGACAAACATTTTATTAATACTGCATGCTCAAATTATTAAGTGGCCACCTCAAATTGACAGGTCTAGTATAATATCCTCTTAAGTTCAGCAATGAAAATTTTTGATTTTTTGTCTTGTTTTTCCAGACAGGGTTTCTTTCTGTAGTCCTGGCTGTTCTAGAACTAACTCTGTAGAACAGGCTGGCCTCAAACTTAGAGAGATCCACCTGCCTCTGCCTCCTGAGTGCTGGGATTAAAGGCATGCACCACCACTGCCCAGCACAGCAATGAAAGTTTAAAGTATCTGACTTATTTTACAATAAGAGATTCTTTCCAAATTCTTATTAAAAGGTAATTTATTATTGTTTCCATATACTAAATCTACTAGCAAAGTGAACACTGTTTTCTCCATCTTTTGACTTCACATAGTAGAATATATGTAAGGTCATCTATGCATAAGGACTTAGCTCCTTAGCTAACATACATTCAGTTGGTAATATAAAGGTAGGTTTATATATACCTTGTACTCAGTGAGTATTCCAAGAAAAGTTAAACATTTACATTAGTCACATGATTGTTGCTTTAGTGAAATGCCACTTACATACATATATACAGACTCCTGTATGTAGATTCAGAAAGACCATTGATGTGTCCAGAGAACCATTGGAAGTGATCATTAATCCTTTTTATTGCTCATAGGGAGCTGGGATGCACTTTGCTTTCTACTGAATGACTTCAGTTCATATTCAGGAAAATTATTTATTAATAGCTTCATTGAAGAATTAGTGAAACCAAAAGTCCCAATCTTGTTTTATAAATGACATTTCTTTATTTTAGTTTGAAAATTAATTCTGTATTTTATCCTTTGCCTTTCGTTTAGTGATTTCTTAGTGCCGGACTACTTAAACCAGGAGCAAGAAGAGACTCTTGTTCAGTATGATCTTGGAGAACATACTTTTGAAAGCAACTCTTCTGTTCAAATGCCTGTGATTTCACAGGTCTCCTCAACCCAGAATTGTGAAAGCTCTTTCCCCTTGGGGTCTCTTGGTGGGCTTGCAGAAAAGGAGGAGGAAATGCAAGAGCAACCAAAGACCAGTGCTCATGCTGAGGCTCCCAGAGAAGACCCCCCTAAGTCAGAGCTGGCTTCTATAACTGTCGAGTAATTCTGTGATTTGGCCTCCTTGGTTTTGGTTTTTGGAAAGTGCCTGTGCTTGGTCTTATATGTTTAAATTTAATTTTTCAAACAAAGACGAGTTCCCTTTGTAAGCCCTAAAATTGGAGGGTTGCTTTGTTTTGATTTTTTCATAGCTGAGAGATTGCTTCTGTATGTATACAATAAGGTAACATTGAAACAGAACATAAACTCTAAGACTTAAGGAAAAGCAGCTGATTTCAAACGTGGCAGTTCTTCCTCCCAATGTTAAAGGTAGGCAGCAGCAGATACAGAAGAAAGCAGGTTGTTGTTGACCTTCCTGAGATGAGAGGGCTCATTGGAAGTTTCTAAACAGAATTTGACAATGCCTAAGTAAATGTTTACTCCTAGATGCAGGGTGTTATAAACCCTGTAGTTTTGGAAGTATTTATGGTAATTTTTTTTCAAATGAAGGTAAATAACTTTTGAAATCCAGCATATTCTTTTTTTTAAGCCATTATGAATTTTCATGGTGGAAAATTGGTATCGGGCAGGCATTTCCTGTACCCTTATAGTACCACTCCAAAGGCTAAGAGGTGTGACTGAGAGGAGTCAGGCTGTGCATGGAGTAGCCAGGGTGCAGAAGGAGGTATGTATACCCCAGCTTTATAGGAATTGTTTCAATACTGTTTTTCTTACTAGAATGAATGTTTACCTGGCCTTTGAATGGTGATACCTGACTAACTAGGACATTGCCCAGATTAAGTGTCCTCTTGTCCCATCAACAGTACTTTCACTTGCATATACTATTGTGCTGCCATATAAAAGAAAAATATTGAAGATATTCTATATTTTATATATAGGTTTATGTATTGTTGGGGATGTTTATGCTGTACTGTTTTGGACAAAATAAAAGAATTCTGTTTTGAGGCTACATTCTTAACCCAATTAAGATTGTTTACAAGATCACATATGACAACAGTACATTGTCCTTATTCTAAAATATTTTGAGGTATTGCCAAGTTTGTTAAAAGCTGTTATAGTTTTCACGGGATGTAAGCAATAATGTGAAAGATAAAAGGTTGTAAATGATCATCTGTGACTCAGAAATTGGGGGAGGGACGTGTTATAAAGATTAAAATCTAAAAACTTTGCTACTCAAATGATGAAATTTATATAGTACTCTAGATTGGGATATACTTTTTTAAATCTGGTGCCATCAAAACCTCTTTGGTCTGAAATATTCATGAGTCCGTGAATAATAAACTTTTGAGTAATTTTTCTCTATAGAAAATCACCCTAAGGTTCATCATTATGATTGCTCCTGATGGGGTTAAAAAATAGAAACAACATATGTTTTTTGTTTGACTTTGAATACTTTCTTCTGTTTTGTGACAGGATCATATGTAGCCCAGGCTGGTCCAGAACTTATGATCCCCTTGCTAGCATGATATAGACACATGTCACCACACCCAGATCAAACTATAGTTCTTAGAAACATAATCTGAATTTTATTCCAATGCCAGACCTTACTTTTTACATTATAGTAACTTGTTTCTTTCAAGTTTATTAATTCTGCAATTTAATTTCTCTCTTTCCCTGTCTCTCTTTGTGCATATTCTCCTACCTTATTTCTACTTTTTTCTTAATCTCAGTATTGAGAATTGAACCGGAGACCTTACCCATTATTTGCACATGGTCATTCACTGAGATACAACCCTAGCCTTTATTTCCAGTTCTTCATCTGACTCAGGAGCTCATTTGCTCCCCAGCATAAGTATATGACTTTCAGAAAAATCAACTAGGAAAGTTAGTAATTTTTATTTTAATGTCATATATGATCTTTTAAAACTGTGCCTACTAATAAAGGAATTCTAAAACTCATATTAGAATCCTATTTTAAGTATGGTAAGGACTAGGTTAAATTATGATCAGGAATTATGGTTTTGGTTCCAAGTTTTGTTTTCTTTTTATTCTGTTAAGAGTCAGAAAAAAAGAAAAGGAAGAAAGAAATAAGAATCAATCAGAGATGAACTGTTGAAGAATTCTTTTCAGATTCCTGGGTTGAAAGTGTTTCAGTCTACCCTATCTTGAGAATTGTTGAGTTAGGACGTCCCTGGCATCGCCCTGTGAAGGACACTCCTCACTGGATTTTCATTGCTGATGACAAATCTTGTAGCCAACCTTTATGAGATTTGAATATACCATGCAAACACATATGGTTAGTTGCCCACTGCCCAAATCTTTTTTATAAAGGTGCCTGACCAGTGTTTAATATAAAGTGATACGAAGGCCTTTTTCTGTTCCATTAAGACTCTACATTTGTGAGGACATTTGTCTATGAGCCTGTTATAGGAAACACAGCTGCAAGAGATAATTGTATATATAGTAACATTTAAGGTTTATTTAAAGTTGATATAAGAGAGGAATGCCTAGATGTATACTTTTCACCAGAATATATGGAAAAAATTGTGAAGAGGTGAAGCCGGTCACGATCCCTTCCATAGAAGCCACCAGGGTAGCTAAACAGAAAAGCATCCTTTATTAACGGATGCCTATCTTTTGTAAGGCCTAAGGGTAACTTTGTGATATTTAAAGGGCTTAACTTTTAGAATGCAGGATAAATTACTTTTTAAAAAGCTAAGCATTTTATACAAGAAAAGCTTTTGTTTTCAGTTTTTTCCCAACTACCAAACAGAAAGGATGTGCTTTAGAAAGAAGGTTTTTGCTGTGATATTGGGTCCAGCTGCTCTTGTCACACTTTATATTTCCAAATTCTGGCCTTGGGAGCTTTGCATCAGAGATTGTACTGACACAAGGACAAAGGTGTCAATGCTTTCACTTTGTGCATTTAAAGTCTTTAGTATTGCTGTCCACAGGGGTGTTCCAATGACTTTCTCTTAATCGACCATTTTAAATAATCCCAATTTTTATTTCCAGTAACTGCAATTCATTATATTACTAGGTCATGTTTTGGTTTTTTTTTTTGTGTGTGTGTAGGGGGGGGTTGGTTTTAAGTTCACAATTTTGTTAAAACAAAATGAACTAAAATGTCTAAGTGGCCTCATTTTGGTCTTAGTTTGAACATTCTAACACCCTTAAATAGGTTCCATGTGAAGATATATGCCCTTTGTTATTAAAGACCAACAAACAAAAAATAGTTGTATTTTGTTAAAATGTTTTACAAAGTAGAGTAAAGTGGTCAGTGCCTCTGCTGTGCTGAGACATTGGTAACTCAATTACTGTCTAAACTGCTGAGACAGACTCTCCTGTTCTAGAAACTCATCCCGTTCCTTTGGAAGCTCTGTTAAGTCTTTCACTCCTTTCAAAAAAAACAAAACAAAAAACCTCCTACTTTATTCTCTTAATCTAATAGGAGCCACTTAGGCAGTTAGTGGTGTCTGTATAGGTTTTCAGAATCAGCTTTAGTCTGTTAGCTTTGAATTTCCTATAAGGTACATTACCATACAATGTTACGGTAGATGGCAATTCTCTACTAGTATCACAGAGAATTGTTTCTTAGGATGACGAATGAACAGTCCTGATACTTTAACTCAAGAGATTTTGATTCGTGGAGTAATGACCAGGCAGATTGGAAACTTCCAATGGTACTGCATCACTCACCTGCCAAAAGGGCCTTAAACTCTGAAGTACACAGCTAAGTGACAGAATGATTTCTGAGTTCTTAACCAGGGGAGGGGAAGGAATTAGGGAAGCTCACACATGGAGAGCAGGTGGGGGAGGAAAATGGGCTTTCACGGTAAGTTGTTGACATCGGATGCTTTTTCTATTTTGATGGTTACAAAGAGGATATGTAGAAGCCAGGAAGCAGTGGAACGAAGTTGAGGAAGCAGAGACTTTATTGTCACTAACCCCGGGTGTTAAGTGAGGTCATCAAAATTAATACTTTAATTTTTGTTTATGCTAGTATTTATCTCTCAGTGTCATTTTTGACATAATGTGGTGACATGGAATATTTTTATTTGAAAAATCCTCACAAAACGATTTGCCAAAATGGTAGTGGTTCAGATAACAGTGAAGTAGAAATGAGCCAGTCCTCATACAGGCTGGGAACAGGCTATGGGTATCGCATTCTGGATTACACATAGATTAAGGTTTTTGCTGTGGCCCGGAAGAGTTGAACTGTGAACAGAATGGTAACCAGCTACCACCAGGAGCTGCACTTCTTACTTGTTAGTTTGTACTAAAGTGATAAGTTAGATGTTTCCCCTATATCATAATTCTATTTTTATAATAGAAAAAGATAGTTCCATGACTTTGGAAATAGTTGCTATAGCGATTTGAGACAGTGTGTTGGAACCTTGGCTTTGGCAGATCCGAGCAGCAGTGAGCCTTCCCTTGTTTCTGTGACTAAGACCCAGGCCAGCGCCAGTGGACACAGGCTTCCTGTGCACATAAATTTATAAAGAACTTAGTTCAGACCATAATTGAAAACATTAAAGTTAATGTTTTTATTCATTGAAAATTGAAATAAAAAATTAAAGAAAAACGTTTAAAACGCAGTTTTTTATTTGATTTTAGTGCCTAGTTTATAAAGTCAAATCCTTGATTTCTTTCTCTTTTAAGTTAACCACTTATTAAGTTATTAAGCCTAAAGCCCAGAGCTCAGTTGTGATGACTTACTGGTAAAACCACCGATAATCATTTGAGGAGCCATAGTGTCATGACTTTACCAAACTCCTTTGTTTTCTCACATGCCAGTTTGACTATACCTAGAGCTTGAAAACTCATCCTGGGAGTGAATGTTGGTTACCACATTGCATCAGCCGCTAAGGAGTCAGCCTCCTGTACCAGGGGAGGTGTTGTGTCTTTTCTGTGACAAGTGTGTGAGTATGCTGTCTCTGGGATTAGGTAGCAGTTTTCAGCTGACAGATGTCATGGAAGGTCTCTCCTACTGAAGGTACATTGATTTGGAAAGTTGCACTGCTTTTCTGCTCCCTGGAGTAACTGGCATCGGGTATTTAGAAGTGAGATCGTAAAATTTGTTGTTTTACTTATACAAAATGATGGCTTCTGATGCTTGTTTTTGAGGTATTTAAAGAAATAGCAGTCCTTGATTGGGTAGAATTTGGTTTTGACCCAAGTTCCAATGATGTATTAGTTTGCTGATACAGGTGTGTCCTGTTGCATCAGCTAGATATTGCCTGCCTCTTTGTTAGGCACCCTTGTGGCACCTTATGTTCAACCTGAAGGATGGTATGTGGCCTCTTTGTGCCTCTGCTGTCTTCAAAAGCCATTTTATAAAAATCTTAGGTAGCCTATTTTAATATTTAAATATATATATTTGTGAAAGATACTTTTAGAACAGACCTTTTTTTTAACATTAAAATTCCCGTATTCCCATTTTTAAGAGTAAACTAAAGCTTTTCCAGGCTTAGGAAGTATGTTTTTTCAGAGCTGTAATAAGAAAGTCAGATTGAGGTGAGAAACCGGAAAGTTCAGTGATAGGGAAAAGATGTCTGCTGAGGGGAGACAAATTTAAAAGTAAAAACAATTGCTTTGACGGAACATGAATTTTTAAAATAAAATTGTGGGTTTTGTTTCTGTAATTTCATATTTGCTGCTACAGTAGCTCACTATTTTACAGGGCTAATATATAAATCTGGCTCCATTTAAAAACTGGGGTCTTTTCTGATAGAAGCAGCTTAGAAAGAGACTGCACCAGCCTGCCAGACAGTGGCAGGTGTCCGTGTAGCTGATGCATGCTTTAATATTTGCCTGTCGCTGGCAGCCCGGAGGTCAGGAAAGCTTCCTACCCTGCCAGCTAGAGCAGTGCAGCTCTTGGGGAACTGGCATCTGTGAAACAGGCCAAAGAGGGGACTTGTGAAGAGAAACTGTGAATGGAGTTAGACGAATGGGTGATTCCGTGTCCTCTGCCCCTCTCCCAGAACAGTAATCTCTCTCCACTGTGCCGTCCCCAGTTCACCAGCTCTGTACCAGTCATCATCGTCATCGCATTCAAGTATAGCTTTACTTGGTGACAGTGGCCATAGCTAAAGTACTTGGCATGTTTGACTTCCTACAATAACAAAATGGTCTTAAAATTTGTTTTGTTTGATTTCCTTAAAAAATGTATACAGTGTCATAACTTCACATTTTATATACTAGTATCTGACTATTAGTATTTTACAGAAACCATGGTTCTTGGTGACTACATATATATATATATTTTTGTGACTTTTTTGTAAACTAAGTGCCGTTTCAACGTTACAATCATTTTTAGAGTTATTGTAATCAATGTGAATATCATGTTTTTTCAAATCTGTTCTGAGCCTAGTGTTTGCTTTGTGAACATACGTGTATTGTATATATTCTGTATAGTTAATACTGTACTGAAATATTAGCTTGTTTGATATGAGAAAAGTATGTATTGAGTACCTTTTTGCTAGCCTGATTGCTTAATCTTTTTTAAAAAAGATTTAAAAAAAATTTTTTTAAATCTTTAAACTGGCCTTTATTACATGGTCACAAATAAAGTTGCAGTTAGAAGGGATGGACAGGGAAAAATTAGTCTTGAGTGTCTTTGGATAGAAACATGAGACTAAGATTTGTTTTTTGTTTTTCCTCATTAAAATAACTTACTGGTGTTTTATGAAATAAGTTTTTCTGCTGTTGTCATTGACTGTTGGCTAGAAGGAGGAACTGATTATTGAGTGTGTGCAGACTAGAGGCTGTTATAGTGAACAGCGTCTGTCGGTGCTCCAGAGTACAGACCACCCTATCACACCAGGCTCAGGCGGGAAACAAAGAGGGCAGTTGGGGAAGCCATCAGGTCTGGGAGCTAGGAGCCAGCATCCTGGATAAAGCTACTCACTGGATGGTGGGTTGCCTCTGATTTTATTTTATTTTATTTTATTTTATTTTATTTTATTTTATTTT